TAACTTTTTCATGTAATGTAGAAATCTTCATGCTATTTCTTATTTCAATCATTATTTCAAACTCAAAAAGTAAGAATGCATTCACATATTTCTTCCATTGTAAGAGTATTAGAGAGAAAAAAAGGAGGTTAGGAAAATAGTCAATGAAGAGACCCAAAAATGTTAGAATATCTTTTTATTAGGCAAAATGCTACCAACTTTGGCTAAAAATACAAAGATAGGTGTAAGGAGTATGCCAAATGAACATCAAGACAATCATGATAAGACATCTCGAAGATCCTTTTCAAAAAGCTCAACCACCTGATGCCCTTAACAACCATAAAGCTCTTCAGAATATGCTAGCCTTTTATGTCAATGAATTTTCAGATTTGATATTGTATTCTCCTTATCTAAGCTACCTTTTCAGGTTTTCAACTTAGATAAACCCCTATTTGACTCAAACCGTCCTCTTGGGATTTTCGTCTTGAGTCTCCTTTTTCATTTTTTTCTTTTTTTCTTTTTTTTTCAAGTATAGTACTTTTTCACAACATCAAAATTTATAGGATATGGCAAATCACTTCTATCCATCTTAGCTAGTATCAACGTTTCACCCGAGAAAGCCCATTTCACCACATATGGCCCTTTCCAATTCGGAGTCTATTTTTTTTATTATCTTGCTGGCTTAGAAGAATTATTTTCAAGACCAACTCTCCTTCCCAAAAATAACAAGGTCGAACCTTTTTATCATGAGCCCTCATCATTTTTTTTATATTGCTAACCATGGCACAATGCTGTCAATCTCTTTCCTTAATAAGATTCAATTGTTCATAGCGCTCTCGAATCCATTCAGCCTCTTTTAGTTTTAACTTCTTTCATAACCCTCAGGATGGGATCTCTACTTCTATTGGCAATATAGCTTTTATCCCATAAACTAAAAAAAAATAGAGTTACCCTAGTAGAGGTGGCACACTATCGTTCAATATGCATGCAATGCAAATGGTAACTTTTATGCCAATGCTTTAATAGGTTTCAATCATCTTTCCAAAGAATTTTTTTATATTTTTGTTAGCTGCCTCAACTACCCATTCATTTTTGGATAGTATGGTGCTAAGTTATGATGCTTGATCTTATATTAGACACATATTTCTTGCATCATCTTACTATTCCAGATTCTTGGCGTTGTTCAAAATAATTCTCTTCGAAAGTTTATATCTGCAAGTGATCTCTCTTTTTATAAACTTGCAAACCACAGATCATGTTACATTTGCATATGATACTGTCTCTATCTATTTTGTGAAGTAATCTATTATCACGAAAATAAACCTATGCCTATTAGAAGTTGTTGGGGTAATAGGACCAATAACATCCATGCCCAACATCGAGAATGGCCAAAGAGGTGCCAAACATGTAAAGTAGATAACAGAGTAGGATCTTATCAGCATATATCTAGCATTTATGACATTTACGAGTTAATAGTCAATGCAATCACTCTCTATTATCAACCATAGTACCCTACTCTCATGATCTGTCTTGCATCATATGTCTATTGGCATGTGCCCCACATATTTCATCATGTACTTTTTCAATGATTTTTGCTTGCCTCAGCCTTACTTACACATCTCAGCAATACTTGATCATGGCTTCTTTTTGTACAGAACATCTCCGTCTAAGAAAAGCTCATAGTTAACCTTCGAATAAACCTTTTATCCGTTATCCGTTTATTAAATTGGGTATTATTGGTTCTTATGTACTGTAATATATCATAAAACTAAGGCTTCCCATCTTTCTCTTCTTCTACATTAGAGCAATGAATCGACATATCCCTTGACATCAACTTGATAGGCTGAAATGTCAATATTATTGCTAATTCAAATCATACAGCCAAAGTGGCCAAGGCATCGACAATCAGATTCTCTTCTCGAGGTAAATGAATCAACTAGATATCTCAAACTGTTTATCAACTCTAAAATATACTTTTGATATGAAACGAGTTTTGAATCCCTCGTCTCCCATTCTATTTCAATCGATATATAACTAGAGCTGAGTCTCCAAACACTTTTAATACTTTAACTTTTCTATTTATAGCAGCTTGTAAACCCATAATACATCTCTCATATTCAACGATATTATTTGTGTAATTAGAATTTAACGTCCACTGTTATAAGGTACTATTATTCTTCTAGAGAATTTAGAATTACCCTAATTCGTGTCCCAAGACATTGGCAACTCCATCAAAATACATCTTTCAACACTTTCATTCATGCTTCCCCTTCTCTAATTAAGAAATAGCCATCAAATCTTTATCGAAAAAACTCTAATCTCATTGATTCATATTCTTTAGTAACACAATCTTTGAGAAACTTAGCTATAGCACTCTCTTTTATTACCTTTGGTTTACATATATGATATCATATTTCGAGAGCATTACTTGTCACCTAGTAATTCTCTCAGACAAGAAAGTTTTTTGAAGATGTATTTAATTAGATCTAGTTTTACTATAAGCCAAGTAGTGTGATAGAGCATGTATTGTCTGAGTCTTTTAGCAGTCCAAACTAATGCACAACACATTTTTTCCAAGAAAGATACTTGAACTCATATTCTGTAATTTTTTTACCTCAGATAATAAATAGCTCTCTCTTTTCAACGATATTCATTTTGCTGTCCCAGCACACATCTCATTGAATTCTCACACACCGTCAAGTATAAAATTAAAGATTTTCTTGGAATAGGTGGCACCAACACTGAAAGATTTGACAAGTATTGCTTAATTTTATCAAAAGCTACTTGGTATTCCTTATTTTATTCCCCAAGGTTATTCTTGCAGAGAAGCTTAAAAATGGGATCACAATTATAAGTAAACTGAGATATAAATCATGAAATGTAGTTTAACCTTCCCAGAAAATCTCAAACTTCTTTTGGTG